TCAGGGACCACCAAACTCATAATTTTAGATCCCAGGGACCACTAACCGGTTCTGTTGGCGTGGCCTAATTTGTGGGTGTGGCTTGGTGGTCATGTGACTGGCTGGGCATGGCTTGTATGTAAATCAGGCAAAGCAGGCAGGCAGATTGAGTTGCTCACCGAATCACAGATTCATTCAGAGATCTATCTATCTGCCATCGGCTAGCTCAGTCTATCACACAAAATTTGCTTGCAAGCAAACTCACAAAATTAACTCACAACACACCATGCATGTAAACATTGAATTTTTTTATAAAAAAAAGAGCAACTTTTACCCCAAATCAGGCAAAGCAGGCAGGCAGATTGAGTTGCTCACAGAATCATTCAGTGATCTATCTATCTGCCATCGGCTAGCTCAGTCTCTCAAATTGCTTTGCCGTGAGTCTGCACTGAATTTGCTTGCAAGCAAACCTTCAGTCCTAAGGGAGGTTCGGCTGTGCTTAAAAGCAGAGATGAAGATCTAAAGATTAGCTAGAAAGCAAGAAATCCAACCATTTCCTGCTTCCTAGCTAATCTAAATCTCCTGGCACAGCAGAACAGATGATGGTCAGAAAAAGGAAAAAATAGCAATTTAGCAGGCAAGTTTGCCGGGTAAGGAGTGAGTAGGCGGGGAGGGTTCCCGCGGGCCATGCGGGCAGCACAGCCTTGCGTTTCTGCGCAGCCTGGATTAATTGCTTGGGGGGGTGTGTGATCTGGGGGTGAGATTTCTCTGCGGCCCACCAAAATTTTCTCGCGGCCCACCGGTTGGCAACCGCTGCCTTAGACCACCAGCGAGGGGCTTAGTGCAAACATCTCAAGAGCCAGGAATTGGATCCGAAATTAACTCAGAGTTTACTCCGCTGGTGGAAGGCAGGCACGTTTGGTGGAACGTTCTTTCGTTTCACTGAACCGTTTCCTGGGGGAGTCTCCTTTTTGTGGCGGGTAATGCTGGAATCAGAAACCCTCATCGCCCACGAATTATCCCAAGACGCAGCCAAAGAGATGACGGCTAAACCCCCTCATCTACAGTAAACAGCAGTAATCCAATCCCGTCACCTGTTTTTTCCCAAAACAACATCCCTGTGAAGTGGGATGGGTCGAGAGAGAGAGAGGGAGGGAGGGACTGGCCCAAAGTCATCCAGTTGTCTTTCCTGGCTAAGGTGGGACTCGAACTCCCTGGATCCTGGCCATTGACCCAAAGTCACCTGGCCGGTTTTCATGCTTTAGGCAGGACTGGAACTCACAACCTCTTGCTTTCCAGGCAGCGCCTAGAAGGGCCAAGACCGTGTAAGGACAGGAGCGTCAAACTCAAATTTCACTGAGGGCCGCATCAGGGCTGGGGTTGACCTCAGGGGCGTGGCCTACTGTGTGGGCGTGGCCAGCTTGGCCACCGCTCCCCAAACGGCTGGCCTGGACAAAGCACCCTGGTCTCGTCTCGTCTCACCGGCTCAGCTCCAGGAAGGAGGGAAGGGTTTCTTCGCATTGGGTAGACCGGGCTGAAGCGATGCGGGCCGGTCCCTGACATTCTCCGGGATGCTCCGGTGGGCCAAATCGAACCACATCACGGGCCAGCCTTGAGTTTGGCTCCCCTGCTATAGGGGGTCTTAGGTTTACAAGCAGAAAGCGTCACGCTGGCCCTAAATGTACGACTCCGCCCACTGGCCGCGAAGTCACCCTGCGCTCCATCCTGCGACGCTTCCACCCGCCTCAGGTCTTGGCGTTCTCCCGTTTCAAAGACCCGACTCTCTGGGTGAACTACGCTCGGTCCCCGTTTCCAAAATCAGGGAATTACAGTCGAAGCCAATACCCCCAAAAGCAGCCAGGTAAAAAAAGACCCAAAGCGGCCCCGTCTCATCTCGCCTCACCTGGCTCAGCTCCAGGAAGGAATCGATGTTCTCCAGCTGGAAGGGAAAGCGCCCGTTCTGCATATCGTACACCATGCGGGAACTGCCGATGTAGTCAAAAGTCTCCTGAGGAGGGGAGGGAAATCCAGAAAGGGTCCTCTCAAAAAAAAAGAAAGGGGCACAGCTCATCCAGCTCCAGAGCAAGGAACGGCCAGCTGAATGTGCAGAGGTTTATTTATTTCATTCCTGGCTTTGTTATTCTTGCAAATAACTCGAAATGGTGAACAGAGCGAGAGAATCAAGATCAAGGGAGGTACTAATCCCACTGTGTAAAGCCTTAGTAAGGGCACACCTAGAGTCCTGCATCCAGTTTGGGTCACCACACAATAAAAAAAGAGGTTGAGACTCTAGAAAAAGTGCTGAGAAGAGCAACTAGGATGATGAGGGGTCTCTGGAGGCTCAAACATAAAATGAACGGTTGCAGGAACTGGGCCTGGCTAGTCTAGGGAAGAGAAGGACCAGGGGAGACAGGAGAGCAGCCTTCCAATATTTGAGGGGCTGCCCCAGAGAGGAGGAGGAAGGGGGTCAAGCTATTCTTCAAGGCACCTGAAGGCCAGAGAAGGAAGAATGGGTGGAAACTGAACAAGGAGAGACTCAACCTGGAAATAGGGAGGAATTTCCTGACAGGGAGAACAATCCACCCCTGGAACAGAAGTTGCCTTTGGAAGTTGTGGGAGCTTCATCACTGGAGGCCTTCAAGGAAGAGGCTGGGCTGCCATCTGTCAGAAATGGTGTAGGGTCTCCTGCTTGGGCGTGGGGTTGGACTAGATGACCTCCAAGGTCCCTTCCAACTCTGTTATTCTCTATCCAACACAACTTCCTCCTGTTTTCTGCACAACTCTGTGAGGCCAGTGACTGGCCCAAAGTCACCCAGCCGGCTCTGGTGTCTAAGGTGGGACTAGAACTCCCTGTCACCCAGTGACTGGCCGGGATTTCTGTTGCTAAGCGGGGCGGGGACGGGCTTCTTAAGTGAGCCACATCAATCCAGTTTACGGCTTCTTCTTCCACGATTGCAAGTGGACAAGGCCGAATTTTGCGGGCCTCTCAGGACAGGCACCGCTGCCCATGCCCCTCCCCCCCCCCCAAACAACCCCCACCCCCCCCGGGCCGGGGGAACAACGGGAAGAGAAATTGTTTCACGGCACCCCGGAGCCCCTGTGAAGTTGACAGGCGCCGCTCGAACTCAGCTCCCCCCACCCACCCACCCACCCAACTCATGCCTGGAGGGGAACATCAGCTGCTAACCATCACCCCCCCTCTCCCCCCCTCCCCTTTCCAAATATCCTCTTGGCTTTCGGCAGCTGCCGCGGCTGCAAATTAACTGCCTTTTTTTTCTTTTTTTGCTTCAGTGTGCACATATATTTTTAATCCGCCCCACGTGACTCGGGGTTTGGAGACGGGGGGGCCCGCCGGCCCCGGGGGGGGGGGGGGGGGGGGGGAGAAGGGCCTTTCCGCTGCCCCGTGGGGGGGGACTCCGCGTTGCCCACAGCTGCTGCCCAGGGGCCGCAGGGAAAGGCCTTCCCAACTACAAATTCTGAAAAGCCCGACTGGAAGGCATCAGGTCGGGGAAGGAGGTGTCAGGTCCGTCTACCTGCCGTTCTTCCTTGCAAGGAGGAGGGGGGGGTGGGTTTGGGCCCCTCCTCTCAATGCACCGAAACCGATAGGTTGACATTAGGATGGAAGGTCCAAGAGAAATCAGAATACCGCAAAAATACGGAATCAATTTTACTTCTGGAGGGTCCGTAAAAGGTCCGCTAAACTTGAAATGGAATTGAAACTGAAATTAAATTGGAAAGGTCCGTAAAATTGAAATAAGAACCTACGGTGAAAGAGGGAAGAGGTGAAGGACCTCATAATTGAGGAAGAATGAGAAAGGTTTTAAAAAACTACAAAGATTAAATGTATATAGGTAAACAAATGTATATAATTGTACATTGTTTATTTTTCTAAATGCAAAATGTACTGACAGAAACGTATGTCAAAGAAGACCACCATGTTCAATGCTTTTAATCTTTATACTAAATAAAATTAAGGAAGGAAGGAAAGAAGAAAGAAAAAGAAAGAAGGAAAGAAAGAAAGAAAAAGGAAGGAAGGAAGGAAGGAAGGAAGGAAGGAAGGAAGGAAGGAAGGAAGGAAAGAGAGAGAGAGAGAGAGAGAGAGAGAGAGAGAGAAAGAAAGAAAGAAAGAAAGAAAGAAAGAAAGAAAGAAAGAAAGAAAACGGGTACCACCATATTGGAGCACAACAGCAAACTTCCATTAGAAGGGCAGTGTCAGACCCCTGTATCTGCCATTCTTCGATGGAAGAAGAAGGTGATACAACTAATCCTTTTTGATGTAACCTGTATTATCCTAATTCTTGTATTGAATCTGTATAATTTGCACACGATATACAACTGGGGGACTGGAGCCCAGAGGCCTGGAAACTTGTCACCTCTTGGAGAGATAGCAATCCTGGGAAACTTTTCTCAACTACATTCCCAGAAAAAATAAAGGGGGAAAATTAACACGTTGCTTCTTTGTACTGATGAAATCCACACCAGACTAAGAGGGGGCGGTTCTAACTCCTTTTATCTAAACTGCATGCCTGGAGGGATATCAGACCCTGCTTTGAACATCGCCTGGATCTTTTTCCTTTTCAATCAAGAATTCCTTTTGAAATACCCGGTTTTCCAAAGTCCATTCTTATCGTCTGAAGGGGAGAGAGTCTAGGACCGTGATGGCAAACCTATGGCACGTGTGCCACAAGCGGCATGCAGAGCCATTTGTGGTGGCACGTGAGCTACAGGCAAACTTACTTCACAGCACATGCGTGTGCCTCACAGCTGACTTTTTTGGGGGGGCTGGTTTGAGGCCTTTTTCAGCCCCCCAGAGGCTTGGAAATAACCTCTGCAGGCTTTTCAGGATGAATAATAGGCCCATTTTGTCACTTCCTGTAATACCAGAAGCATATTATTTGGCCTGAAAAGCCTTGCAGAGGCTATTTCCAAGCCTCCGGGAGGCCGAAAAAGGCCTCAAACCAGCCGAAAAATCAGCTATGAGGCACAGTGTAGGTAAGGGAGTGGCAGGGGGGATTGCACGCACATGCACAGGGGGCGTGGGGAGGGGGGTGCATTGCATTCTGGGTGCTGGCATGTGAGTCTGCACTAGCACACGTGCAATTTTGGGCACAGGAGCCCAAAAAGGTTAGCCACCATTGGTCTAGGCCTTATAGGAGGTTTGAGGCCACCTGCCTGCTGCTCTCAGGAAGCAGCTGACAGGAAGTGGGAGTGTGGCTCCATTGGCTGTGGAGGAAACTGAGGAAGAGCAAAGTCCGGCTGGGCAGAGCAGGGGAGAAGTAGAGCAAGGCAGAGGGAGTTCAGAGGAAGACCCAGGCCCACCCACTTTTCATCCTAGGTCACGCAGGGAGGAACAAAGAAGGGAGCAACGTGAGTTGCGTGGCTTACGGGGGAGGAAAGGGCCCTGATTCCCTTCATTAACTGCAGCTGGAAACACAGTGTATAAAAGAGGAAGCTGCCCACAGCAAGTTGTTGGGAGCAAATCATCAAGGCTTATCTGTGTTCCTGCTACCTTCTCATTTGTGTGTGTTGTACCAGGCTTTCAAGACTGAAAATCCTTCTCCTGCCCTGTCAAACCAATTACTTCAGCTTGTATTGTTGTGGCTTATCTGTGTTCCTGGCGTCTTCCCAATTGTGTGAGTGTTGCCATGTTTCCAAGTCTGAAATTCTTGCTTCTGCCCTGCCAAACGAATTACCTCTGTTTTGCTTGACTGGACTTTAAGTTACAGTTTGCGTGTACCTTGCTTTGGACTGAATTTTCTCCAGTTAAAGGCTGTTCCTGGGAGAGTTTTTCTCCAGCCAAAGTTCACCTGGACGTTGGGGGCCAAGTTGGAGATAATAAAGGGACTCTTCTTGCTTATTTGACGGTGTTGCCTTTGTGCCATGCCCCTTGGGGTCATCACAGTGGGTGGATTTCAACTCTCAGGCTAATATTGCTAGTTTTGGGCAAGATCTGTTTAATTTGCACGTATTTAGTCTTCGTGTTTTATATTTTAAAATTTTTATGTCATATGATAGGCCTTATTTTTGTGATGCTTCTGGCACCAATTAAACAAAATCCCCACGCTGCCTGGGGAATTCTGGGATTTGGCAGTCCATCCCTTTTTAAACCGGCCAGGATGAGAAACGCGGATTTTTAAACCATCTTCCCCCAATAACCCCGTGAGCTTTTCCTATTTAAGTGCTCCCAGACCTCCTCAGCCATCTCTGGCTAATTCTCTGGTGGAGCTGGGATTAGCGGCATCTGTCTCTCTCTCTCGAGCTGTTTTGTTCGTTTCCCGGGGGAAATTCCACCCTTGCAAAGCGTGATATTTCCTAGCCGAGAACGACAAAGCCCTCCGACGCAACTCTTTATTTCCCAAGGCAGCTTTCTCTGCTCGCAAGCACCGCGGAAATTGCTTCCCAACGAGACGTTGTACCCGTTGACGGGGTGGATGGTCTCTCCGCAAGATTTCAGAAAAGCCAGACCTTTCCAGGCCCAGCCACAGGTTCCAGGGACCGAATCATTTTTTATCTGCTGTGGGTTTTTTTTTTGTTTTTTTACGATCCGTGACTTTTCACGGTTTTAATGAGAAGAGCCACAAAAATGATGAGGGGCCTGGAGGCTGGGACGTATGAAGAGCGGCTGCTGGAATGGGATACGCCTGGTCTAAGGAAAAGGAGGACTACTCGGGGTGACGTGAGAGCACGCTTCCGATATCCGAGGGGCTGCCACAGAGAGGAGGGGGACAACCTGGTCTCCAGATCACCCGAAGGCAGCACAAGAAGCAACGGGGGGAAACTAATCAAGGAGAGAAGCAACCGGGAACTAAGGAGGAATTTCCTGACAGGGAGGACAGTGAGCCAGTGGAACTGCTTCCCACTAGAAGTTGTGGGTGCTCCATCACTGGAGGCTTTTAAGAAGAGACTGGGTGGTATAGAGATTTATCTGGGATAGTATAATAGAGTTTCTCGCTTGAGCAGGGGGCTGGACTAGAAGACCTCCAAGGTCCCTTCCAACTATTCTATTCTATTCTATATTCTATTCTAGTCCTAGTCCCATTCCATTCTATTCTCTATATTTTATATTCTCTTCTCTTCTATTTTTATATACATCCTATTCTCTTCTCTATTCTATTTCTATTCTCTATTCTATTCTATTCTAATTCTATTTCTATTCTATTCTATTTCTCTTCTCTTTCTAATCTATTCTATTTTATTCTATTCTATTTCTATTCTCTATTCTATTCTATTCAATTCTATTCTATTTCTCTTCTCATTCTATTCTATTTTATCCTATTCTATTTCTATTCCCTATTCTATTTCTCTTCTCATTCTATTCTATTTCTCTTCTCTATTCTGTTCTATTCTATTCTATTCTATTCTATTCTATTCTATTCTATTCTATTCTATTCCCTATTCTATTTCTCTTCTCTTCTCTTCTATTTCTATTCTCTATTCTGTTCCATTCCATTCCATTCCATTCCATTCTATTCCATTCTATTCTATTCTAATTCCCTATTCTATTTCTCTTCTCTTCTCTTCTATTTCTATTCTCTATTCTAGTCTATTCTAATTCTATTTCTATTCTCTATTCTGTATTCTATTCCTATTCCATTCCATTCTTATTTTCTCTTCTCTTCTCTCCCACCCAGAAGTTGTGACTGCTCCATCACTGGAGGCTTTTAAGAAGAGACAGGAGAGCCTCTTGCCCAGGACAGGATATGGTGTCCAGCCTTGGTCAGAGGGCTGGGCTAGAAGACCTCTGAGGTCCCTTCCAACTCTGTTCCTCTTGTTTTATTTTGCAAGCTGCCCAGGGTTGTCAGACACAAGGTAGGCAGCAAATAAATGTCATAAACGAACGAACAAACCAATCAATCAGAGATCTGTTTCAAGCGGCAGAGATCAGGAAAACAAAACGAGAACTTACCCCCTGGAAGAAGGCGAACATGATGTTTTTGGGCAGCGACTGAACATCGGGGATTTTATGGATGGCTTCAGCTGCAGCGAGGAGGGTGACAAAGGAAGCCACGGCGCTCTCGGCCCCCGGGGCCACGTTCCAGAAAAAAGAGTGGCTGTCAATCTGCCAGAAAGAAGAGCAAAGAATTACGTTCTGGCCAGTGCAGAGACTCTGCCAGCGTTTCTCTCCCCGAAGTCAGCCTGACGGTTTCTGGGCCTGGTTCAAAGCGCCGGCTTCATGCCCAGATGGCCGCCGTTCAGACCCAAATCTATTTTTCATCCGCTTGCTAGAAGTATCGGGTCGAAATCCACCCAGCACATTATGAATATTGGTCCCGTTTTGCGAAGGGGGAAAGCTCCTTCCTCGTATGATTTGATGGCTTATGGTACCCTGTGACCATTATTAAGTGTTGTACCTGATGATTCTTGACTCTGGACGGATGTCTCTTTTCTTTTATGTGCACTGAGAGCATTTGCACCAAAGACGAATTTCTTGTGTGTCCCATCACACTTGGCCGATAAGGAATTCTATTCTATTCTATTTTCTATTCCATTCTATCCTATCCTATCCTATTCTCTATATTCCATTCCATTCTCTATATTCTATTCTATTCTACTCTATTCTATTAATTCTATTTTCTATTCTATTCTATTCTCTATATTCCATCCCATTCTATTCTCTATATTCTATTCTACTCTATTCTCTATTCTATTTATTTATTTTCTATTCTATTCTATCCTATTCCTTCATTCCAATATCTAATTCTATTCTATTCTATTCTATTCCTTCATTCCAATATCTAATTCTATTCTATTTTCTATCCTATCCTATCCTTTCCTATTCTATTCTCTATATTCCATTCCATTCTCTATACTCTATTCTACTCTATTCTCTATTCCATTTTCTATTCTATTTATTCTATTTTCTATTCTATTCTATCCTATTCCTTCATTCCAATATTCTATTCTATTCTATTCTACTCTATTTTCTATTCTACTCTATTTTCTATTCTATTCTATTTTCTATTCTATTCCATTCCATTTTCTATTCTATTTTCTATTCTATTTTCTATTCTATTCTCTTACGGTTGCAATAGATATGTCGGCATTCAGTTAAGGGGGGGGCGGAGATAACGCGTGTCTTTGTTTTTCACCCTTTAAACTCAACACTTTTTTTTAATGCCTTCATCCAGTTTGTTTTATCTTTGCAATTGTTTCCCCCACTTTGGGTTTTTGTATTTTAATTTCCTGAATCAAATAAAAATTAAAAATTTATCCGGCATGTCAAAACGAGCTCTCATGTAGTTCTTCTTTTTTTTTTAAAAAAAAAATAGAAACGGCAGCTGGTGTCTGAAGAGGGCGACCTCTGCGCTGAGGCTTCAATGGAGTCCTCCGAGGGCTACAACCGGAGGGAGCTGCTCCTCCTTCGGGTCACCTCATCAAGTAAGACCTGGGAGGGGGGGGGAATGCCCCCCCTCCCCCAGCTGTGCCTTTCGGAGCGCCTCCTTTTTGTATAGACGGGGACTGGAGGTTAACACTTATGAACTATGGTTGTACAATTGGGCACGTCTAACAGTTTTCTCAACCTGAGCTATTTGAAGGTGAGTGGATTTCAACTCCCAGTGTCAGGCCCCTGTCTGATTTGGAGTGGGGGGAGGGGCGAGCAGCTGACAGGGAGCGGGAGTGTGGCTCCATTGGCTGTGGAAGAAACCAGAGAAGGGCAAAGTCCGGCTGGGCAGAGGAGGGGAGAGGTAGAACAAGGGAGAGGGAGTTCAGAGGAAAGACCCAGGGCCGCCCCCTCTTCATCCTAGGGCACTCAGGGAGGAACGGAGAAGGGAGCAATGTGAATTGCGTGGCTTACGGGGGAGGAAAGGGCCCTGATTCCCTTCATGAGCCGCAGCTGGGAACACAGTGTTTAAAAAGGGAACCTGCCCACAGCAAGGTGGTGTGTGCAAATTGTGAATTTATCTAGTAACGTCGTGGCTTATCTGGGTTCCTGGTATCTTCCCAACTGTTTTGAGTTTTGCCGTGCTTTCATGTCTGAAATTCCTGCTCTGTCAAGCTAATTACTTCCGTTTTGCTTGATTGGACTTTTAAGTTACAGTTTGTGTTAGCCATGTTTTGGACTGAATTTTCTACAGTTAAAGGCTGTTCCTGGGAGAGCTTTTCCTCCAGCCGAAGGTAACCAGGACATGGCGGGCAAAGTTGGAGATAACAAAGGGACTCTTCTTGCTTATTTGACGGTGTTGCCTTTGTGCCACGCCCCTTGGGGTCATCACACAGGCTGTCTTTGCTCCCCAAGGCAGAAAAGAGGGAGCTTCCTGCTTTCTCTAGGCCCAGCCCAACTCACAGGGCTGTTGTTGCAGGGAAAATAGGAAGCAGAAGGAGTATTAGATGTGTTCGCTGCCTCGAATTGTTCACAAAAAAATAAATGAAGGTGGGACATAAATAATAAGTAAACAAAGGAAGAAAATTAAGCTGAATTCTCCCAGCCCAGCCCAGCCCAGCAACACCTACTCGAGAGGAAGCGATGATGACACTTTTAGGATCCAGCTTCTCCGAATCGTTCACCTGCCGCACCGTGTTCCAGACGTTGTAATCGGCAAGAGGATCACAGACCACCTCTGAATAGAATAGAATAGAATAGAATTCTTTCTTGGTCAAGTTGATTGGACACAAAAGGAATTTGTCTTCGGTGCGGAAGCTCTCAGTGTACACACACAAAAAAAACATTCATCAAGAATCATAAGATAACAGCACTTAGTGATAGTCAAAAGATACTAAATAAGCAATCAAAATGATTCTAAGAAACTAAATAAAGCAACATAAATCGTAGAGATACAAGCAACAAGGTTATAGTCATAAGTGGGAGGAGACAGGTAATAAGGAGGATAATAATAATAAAATAATAATAATACAGTCTTAGTAAATAAGTTGACAGTGTTGTGGGAATGAATTGTTTAGCAGAGCAATGGCATGCGGGGGGAAACTTTCATTGTGTCTAATTGCTCTGGTGTGCAATGCTCTATTACAGGGGTCTCCAACCGTGGCAACTTTCAGCCTGGCAGACTTCAACTCCCAGAATTCCGAAGACCAAGGCTTCCCGTGACCGTAATTAAGCACATGCTTAGTCCAAACAAGTCTTGTTTTATTTCAATGCTGGGAATTATGTGCATTCTCAGCCTGTAATGAGACCCAGACAGTTCCTCGAGATAAGCACCCACCTTTCTCTCCTTTGAATGGCTGCCAACAACTAAAGTGCCAAATGAACTGGGGGAAAAAAGCCCAGAGTACAAAAGTCCACAGAGCTTCAAGGAATTATCTGAATAGAGCGAACGACTTTGCTTCCTGCAAAGGTTTCTTCACCTTTGCCTCTTCTTTAGACCTTAGGGGAGGGGCAATCACCTCCCAGCCTTACTCCTGAGTCGCCCCTTTTGTTTCAGCCGCTCTCGCCTTCTGGCAGCTCTGCGCAGACGCACACTGGGAAGAGGCTCCCTTTGTTCCTCTGCTTTGTTGCTGTCAGACTCTGGAGGCTCCGGAGTCAGCACATAACTCCCAGGTGGTCCTGGCCCCTTCCCTGCGTCGGACGCAGGACCCTCGTCTGAGTCCTCTCCAGACTGGTCCCTGTTCTTTCCCACTGTCCGATTCTGCTGCCGTCTGCACAGGTTGCTGGTGAACCACAACACTGGCTGGGGAATTCTGGGGGCTGAAGTCCGCCAGGCTTAAAGTTCCCAAGGTTGGAGACCCCCTGCTCTATAGCATTGTTTTGAGGGGAGAAGTCTAAACAGTTGATGTCCAGGATGTGAGGGGTCTGTAGGTATTTTCACAGCCCTCTTTTTGACCCGTGCAGTAGACATAAGTCCTCCACCGAAGGCAGCAGCCACGACACTGCTGCTCATTTCATGACCTTGGGAAGGGCCACCCTCCCACCCATTCCTGCCCCACCCAGCACCAGCCATGGGGGACCTGTGGGGCTCCACTTGGGCCGACTGCTCAGCATGCCACAGGCAGAAAGGCCATCCGGAAATGCTGGGAAGAGCCAGTTCGACCTTGTTCCCGAGAGCCAGAAATCATGGCCAACGGGATGCAGGGAGCGCTTGGCGTACAACCAAGTCACTAAGTGATGCAGTCATTCAGGGAGTTGCGCCTGGTTTTAAGGGTATCTTGCGGTGAATTACGTGAACTTGGCTTCCCTCGTTGATTTTGTCTGTTGGAGGCCCCAACAGAACAGAACATGGCTATGGCCAGCTCATCTGAATCCCTCATTCACCCCGAGCCCAATCTGACCCCCCTGGATGAGTCCGTGAAATGACCTAGACCCCCAGTCCAGATTAACTGTGCTCAGTTCTGGCACTCAGACGACCACAAAGCTGCCCCAAATCAGCTGCCCTGTGGTTTCAGATGGTGGCCTACTTCACAGGAGACTTAGAATCAAACAACAGGGTTGGAAGGGACCTCGGAGGTCTTCTAGTCTAGCCCCCGCTTGGCTCAAGCAGGGGACCGTACGCCATTCCAGACAAATGGCTGTCGAATCTCTCCTTCAAAACCTCCAGTGTTGCAGCATTCGGTGGCGCAGTGCTTAAGAGTGCAGTATTGCAAGCTACTTCTACTGCAGTTTGGCAGTTCGAATCCCACCAGGCTCAAGGTTGACTCAGCCTTCCGTCCTTCTGAGGTGGGTTAAATGAGGACCCAGAATTGTTGGGGGCCAAGAGGCTGACTCTGGAAACCGCTCAGAGAGGGCTGGAAAGCACTGTGAAGGGGCATATAAGTCTAAGGGCTATTGCTACGGTTATTCACAACTTCCCAAGGCAACTTCTGTCCTACTAGTTAATTGTTCTCCCTGGCAGGAAAGTTTCTCCTTTATTCCAGGTTGCTTCTCTCCTTGGTTAGTTTCCATCCCTTGTTTCTTGTCCTGCCTTCGGGGGCTTTGGAGAATAAGTGGACCCCACCCCTCTTCTCTGGGGGAGCCCCTCAAATACTTGGAAGATGGCTATCATGTCCCCTTTTCATGAAACTACACATGCCCAATTTCGCAACCATGGCTCATACGTTTGAGCCTCCAATTACCCACAACTTCTAGAGGGGAGACATTCACCTGATGAATTGATGTGAGGTTACAGAATAGGAGAATTGGGACCTTGGAGGTCTTCTAGTCCAGCCCCCTGCTGAAGCAGGAGGCCCTATATCATCCCACACAATTGGCTGTAAAGCCTCTTCTTCAAAGCCTCCAGTGATGGAACACCCACAACTTCTGAACAACCCAACAATTTTCAACACCTTTAATAACTGAAGGGTTGCTAAGTGAAGGACCCCTGTGTTGTGGTTCGCCGGCAGCAGGTGCGGACGGCTGAGGTCTCGGAGAGCGAGGACTCGGATGAGGAGCCTGCGTGGGATGCAGGGATGAGGCCAGGATCACCAGGGAGTGGAGCGCTGGCTTCGGAGATTGTGGAGGCTGGCAGCAGTGAGGAAGAGTTCCCTGAGGAGCCTGTGCCCAGTGGGTGCACGCGCAGGGTTGCTCGAAGGAAAGAGCAGCTGCAGCAGCACAGGCGACTCGGGAGTAAGGCTGCAAGGTGATGGCCTCTCCCTTAAGGGATAAAAGCCAGCTGAGAAACCGGAGTTCTTTGCAGGAAGCAAAGAAGTTTTTGCACTCAAGCCTGGTGGACATTCGGAATATCTTGGTTGGTGTTTGGAGACTCTTTGTGTTTGAAATATTTCTTGGCAACTTTATCTAGTGTTCTTGGCAGCCTTGCACAAGCTTGGCAAGGCTCGTTCTTATCAATGAGTTTGAAACAGCCTTTTAACCAGGAAGGAACGGAATTCGTAAAGAATCATTAAAAGGTTTTGCTTTTATCTCTGTTTGGGAACCTTGAAACAAGGTTTGGGTCAGAACACCCTGTGCAATAAAGACAGTATATCCCCAAGAAGGAAACCCCTGACTCTTCTCTTCGACTTCCAGAGTCCCTCCATGTCCTGTATGGAATTACCCTTTAATGTAACAGATTCATACAATCCCAAACTGATTACAGTCCAGCGCAGACAACGCTAGTGCCTATTTCTGCCCGAGCTTTTCCCCACTCTAGGGAGACTCGGCCTCGGCATGTTCGGCCAGCCCTTGGTGCGAGGTAGGCTGGGTACCCTTGCACTGAGTTCGAGGCCTGGCCTGGACAGACTGGCCCCTCCCCAGCCCACCCCACCCTCCCTGGGCTCACCTGGGTTGAGGCTGAAGGTGCTCTGAATGAGGCTGCGGCGCATGCAAGTGACGGTGCTGGTGACGGCGTGCATGTGGGAGGAGAGCTGCATGGCACAGAGGGGATACTCTGGGCCGGAGCCGTTCTGAGGCGTGTTGTATTTCTGGTAGCACTAAGAAGCAAGCAGGGAAGAGGTGGGTTTGTAGACAGAGGCAGGTCTATCTACTGTCAGGATTCCAGCAATCGCCCTCATGAAATCGTGATCCCCGAGCCAAACTTCAACCAACTTCAAAGGATTCATCAGAGGCGACCTACTGGCCCTGCCCTGTGTGAAACTAACTCTGGCCTATGTAATTTAACAGTCCCCTGTGACCCTGTTTCCCCCCTCCCCCCGGGTGTGTCATCAATCAGATTCTCCAATGGGGGCACCTTCACGGGCTGGGTGTCATCCTTCACGTTCTCCAATTTAATATATTCAGGGCAAAAGCTCTGGTAGTTTAGTTACAGCCTTTTAAAGAGAAGAGTTGGAATGTGCTTCCGCTTCCAAACTGCTGCACGGCTCTCCCAGATTTAACCCCCACCCCCCTTATTTTTATGGCAGCTACTAAAAGAGGCGTAGGGATGTTTGATGAGTTGACATCTTCTCTGATAGCAGTGAAGTATCAAAGTTAGTACAGGTAGTCCTCGGCTTACGACCACAGTCGAGTCTCAACATTTCTGCTGCTAAGCGAGACCCCTTCTACGACCTTTTTTTTTTTTTTGCTACAGTTGTTCAGTTGAATCTCTGCCGTTGGTACTTTCGTAAGCCGGTCGTTAAGTGAATCTGACTTCCCCATTTGACTTTGCTTGCCGGAAGGTCGCCAAAGGGGATCACTTGATCCCGGGACGCTGCGACTGTTGTAAGCATGAAGTCGGTTGCCAAGCTTCTGAATTGTGTGATATGAACATGTGACCACACTTAACGGTTGTTAAGTGTGAAAAAATGGTCGTAAGTCACCTTTTTCAGTGCCATTGTAGCCATAGCCATGGCACTTAAGACTTATATCCCGCTTCACAGTGCTTTTACAGCCTTCTCTAAGTGGTTTACGGAGTCAGCCTATTGTCCCGCAACAATCTGGGTCCTCATTTTACCCGCCTCGGAAGGACGGAAGGCTGAGTCAACTTGGAGCCTGGTTAGAGTCGTACTGCCAAATTGCAATCAGCCAACAGTCAGAAGAAAGAGCGCGCAGTACTGCCCTCTGACCACTGCGCCACCGCGGCCCATGGTAACTTCAAAGTATCACTAAACAAACTCTGGTAAGTTGAGGACTACAGTGCCTGCACTAACTTTGATACTTCGCTTGCAGGCTTTAAAATGGTTCTCCTGCCCATCCCGCGGCATGGAAGCCCGGCAGTCTCCATGGAATCTCGTACCTGCTTGATAACCTCGCTTTCGCTTTCATCCTGAAGAAGGAAGATCGGGAAGCCAAAATCCAGGTAGGAAAGGCTGTTCCCCAGGTAGTTCCATTTGGTCGGGTTGCAGTGGGCATATTCTGGGCCATAGCTGCTGTTGTAGACCCCTAAAAGGAGAGGAGAGGAGAGGAGAGGCAGAGGAGGGGTTAACCTGTGAAATCACGGTAGCCTGAAAAGCTGGGTGATGACCCGGGGCGAACCAAAACTAACTAAGTCACAAAAGTAGAATAAATTCCCTTTAATGCCTCCAACTTCTGCCCCAATGTCCAATGATCTTCGACTGGATATCAACCTCTTTCAAAAAACAGTCTTTGAAGAAAGTAAATGCAGTCCGAACCAAAAGTAAAAATAATTAGAAAAAAAAACCCAACACAAACTACACTGAAGTAATTAACACAGCAGGCCAGGATAATTGCAGACTTCCAAAAGATAACGGCACGCACACACAGTTGTGAGGACGCCAAAACCCAGATAAGCCTCGACCAAGATAATGCACGCTTTGCTTCCAGCAAGGTGCTGTGTGCAAACGCCCCACTTATATCCTGTTATCCCAGCTGCAACTAATGAAAGGGATCAGGGCCTTTTCCTCTCCCTTAAGCCATGTTGCTCCCTTCTCTGTTCCTCCCTGCGTGCCCTAGGAGGACGAGGGGGTGGGCCTGGGTCTTCCTCTGAATGCCCAGCTGGACTGTGCCCTTCCCCCGTTTCCTCCACAGCCACCGGAGCCCCACTCCCACTCCCTGTCAGCTGCTCAGTCCCCCCCCTCAGAATCAGGCCCCAACAAGGGTATGACAAGCTACTTCCGGGACGAGAAGAGCCCCATGTGCCCAGGTGTGGAAATCGTGGCCTGGCTCTGAGCTAGGAAGCTTTCCCCCAAATCCTTCCCCACGTTTGACTGAGAAATTAAGTCAAGTCTTGGGGGAGGGCCAGAAAAACGAATTCAAAGCCAGGGGCTGTGAAGAAAAAAAGGGGAATGAGCAGAAGTAGGAGTGGAAAGGAAGCAGGGAAACTGGGAAAAGGGCAGGAATCAGAGGAGGAGGAGGAGGAGACAATTGAAATGAAAGTCTGTTTAGTGGCACACATGGATCGTTCGGAAGGCAAGAGACCTCGAACAAAGCGAGTTACAGTTACAGACTTTGGGTTTGTTGCCCAGGAAAGATAAACCCCTGCTCTGCACCTGACCTTTTTCTTCTTCTGCTTTAATTTTGTGTCCTTCCTGATATTTTTATTATTTTTTTTTAATATTAATAACGTAACTTTGTATAATAGGCAAGGGGAAGGGAGGGAGGGAGGGAAGGAAGGAAGAAAGAAACAGAGAGGGAAGGAAGGAAGAGAAAGAAAGAAAAGGAAGGAGAAAGAGACAGGGAGAAAGGAAGGAAAAGAGGAAAGGAAGGAAGTGACAGGGAGGATGGAAAGGGGGAGGGAGGGAAGGAGAGAAAGAAAAAGGAAGGAGAAAGACAGAGAAAGGAAGGAAAACAAGAAAGGAAGGAAGGAAGGGAGGGAAGGAGAAAAACAGGGAGGGAGGATGGGAAGGGGGGAGGAGAGGAAGGAAGGAAGGGAAAGAAAAAGGGAGGAGGAACAGGGAAAGGAATGGAAAGAAAGAAAAGAAAGAAAAAAGGAAGGAAGAAGTGACAGGGAGGGAGGGAAGGAGAAAAACAGGGAGGAAAGGGAGAGGAAGAGAAAAAGGGAGGACAGAGAAGGAGGAAGGAAGGAAAAGAGGGAAGGGAGGAGAAAACGACAGGGAGGGAGGATGGAAAGGGGGAAGGGGGAAGGGGAAGGAAGGAGGAAGAGCGAGGGGAGGAAGAAGGAAAAGGGAGAAGGAAGGAAATACTCCCAAATCACACTGCTCTTTTCTATAAGTGGAATACTTTCCCACGGGGCCCTCCCACTCCTCCAAATTAGCGTGACTCTGTTCACCTACTTGTGATACCCAACAGCAGCATGCGCCTTAAGCGACGGTGCCACTTGTGCCCGTATCCCGGGGCCCTTTCTCAGCAGAGCATGAACAAGAGTCTGCTTGTGGTTTTCTGCCCTGCCCCCCCCCCCCGCCCCCCCAGGACCACATTCCCAGCTGCCTGACTCCGATGCCCACGAGAGGCGGCTTCCTCACACATCCGTAAAGCCCCTTCCGAGCTCCACACCGCGACTCCTCTCCACAGGCAACCGGTAGCTTCTCAAATGACACACGAGGAGAGAAATTCCCCCGAGCGTTTCTGACACGGGCTCGATTCCTCTTAGCAGGGACAAGACTTTGTCAGCCCAAATCTCTGCAAGATGATGATGATGAAGAAGAGAGGGAACGTTCTCACCTTTTTTTCAGCTTAAGCAAGATAAAATACAAATGAAAATAACAGGAAAGTGGCGAAAGAAAGGAGAGCGAAATAACGGGGGGTCGAAAGGAAGAAATAAAAAACTGACTTCCAAGTTTTTCAGCGCAGTAAAATATAGAATTATAAGCTCTGCTTTTTTTACTTTCTCAGTTTAATGAGGACTGGCCCTTTCTAGAACAACAAACTAAGAGCAAAACCCAAAGACTACATTTCAGTCCACCCGCTATCTGGAGCACAAGGTCCCGGAAGCACTTTCCAGGTTGAAACAAAGCTGGACGTGAGCTTTTCTCTAAATCAGGGGTGTCCAACCTTGGCCAGTTTAAGACCTGTGAACTTCAACCCCCAGAATCCCTTGGGCAGCCATGATGGCTGGGGAATTCTGGGAGTTGAAGTGCATGAACCCTGGGCCTAACTAACGAAAGGAAATTCAACGTAGAGAAAAGTCAAGTCTTATACTTAGACAAGAAAAACCAAAAGGACACCTATAGACTGGGTGAAACCAGGCTGGGAGAGGGATCTCAGAGTCTTAGCGGACAACCAGCTAAATAGGAGCCAGCCGTGTGCGGCGGCAGCCAAAAAAGCCAATGTGATCCTAAGTTGCATTAACAGAGGGATACAATCAAGATCAAGGGAAGTACTAATACCACTGTGTAAAGCCTGAGTAAGGCCACACCTGCATTCAGTATTGGTCACCACACTATAAAAAAGAGGTTGAGACTCTAGAAAAAGTGCAGAGAAGAGCAACCAGGATGATGAGGGGACTGGAGGCTGAAACATGCGATGAACGACTACAGGAACCGGGCCTGGCTAGTCTAGGGAAGAGAAGGACCAGGGGAGACAGGAGAGCAGCCTTCCAGTATTTGAGGGGCTGCCCCAGAGAGGAGGAAGGGGGTCAAGCTGTTCTCCAAGGCACTTGAGAGCCAGACAAGAAGCAATGGATGGAAACTGAACAAGGAGAGATTCAACCTGGAAATAAGGAGGAATTTCCTGACAGGGAGAACCATCAATCCATGGAACAGACATTGCCTTCGGAAGTTGTGGGAGCTTCATCCCTGGAGGCTTCCAAGAAGAGACTGGACTGCCCTCTGTCAGAAATGGTGTTGGGTCTCCTGCCTGGGCAGGGGAGTTGGACTAGATGACCTACAAGGCCCCTTCCAACTCTGTTAATCTAATTTAATCGTTTCAAGGAAGTCCATTTCAAGAAGCATTTAGGGTCCATGAAGGGTTCCGTGGGGTCGGCCACCCAGGGGAGGACTTGAGATGAGCTTGAAGGGCCCAGAGAGAGAGAGAGAGAGAGAGCGAGAGAGAGAGAGAGCAACGCCGCTTCATCCTCACCGTAGCCGTCATTGGGACACTGAAGACCAGGAGAAAAACCTTCCGACGGGCTGGTCTTGGAGACGGCCACGGCCACGCCTGCAATCCGGGAGCTGCCCTTCAGCTTCATCATCACCGGTCTGTTAAAAGAACCACTTTGTGGTTATTATATATATCTATATCTATATAACTGCATGGTGTCCCAGGTAGTCCTCGTCTTTACAACCAGTTCATTTAGGGGTCATTCAACAACAGAACTGGGGAAAAAGTGAGCTTTGCAGGGGGGGGGGAGGGCTGCTATTGGCTGACCCTGCCCCCCCACCCCGCCCCTCCCAAGAGTCCCCCGTGGCCGGTTTTGGATCCCAGTTAATTGCAGGGCCCGTGGGGAGGGTCAGGGAGGGCCCGTTTCCGGCCTCTGGAACGCGGGGAGGCCGTTTTTGCTGTCCCAGAGGCTCGAGGGAAGCCTCCAGAGCCCGGGGAGGGTGAAAACACCACACACACACCCCGCCATGGTGCAGGAGGCCGACTAGGCCACGCCCACCATGGCCATACCCACCTGGCAACCAGGCAGAGAACCTGTTGCTAAAATTTTTTTGAAGCCCACACCCCTGGACTTACGACCGTTTTTCCAAGTTAAACACCTTTTGCAACATCCTTTATCAAAATTCAGGGACTTGTGAACTGACTCGTTTTTATGACGGTCGCAGTGTCCTCGGGGTCATGTGATTTCCCTCGTCAAGCCCAAAATTGACATAGGCGTAGCCATTTTATTTAGCCTTATTATAAATTCCTTTTCCTTTCTTTCTCTTTTTTTGGGGTGGGGGAAGGGTTTCGGGCTTGCCACCTTCCTAAGGTGGGAGGAGCGGAGAGAGAGTTGTTTTGGCTAGGTGGTTCTCCTTCACGTGGGAACGAAAGCTGACCCTGCTGCGACCTGGAGGTTGGAGGCTGATGACGCCAGACTAATTTTGATTTACTTCTATTGGGGACTTTGGGGGGCTGTTTCTAACTTCCAATATTATGTGGTGCAATTCCGGGTTGGGTCAGATCCGGAATGACAAACAGACTTTGCCAATTTGATGCTTTACCTAAATAAAAGAAATTGTCTTGGAAGGTGGACTTTGCTCTTTTCTTTTTAAATGGATTTCATCGCCTGGAAACCTGACATTCTTATTTACAATGAAACTCTAGAAGAACTCTAGAAGAACACTTCGAATCTTATGCGGGAGAAAACCCGAACAACCAAAGATCCA